CACTATTCATGTGCTAGTTCAGGCTTATGTTGTTATGCTTGAGCCTTCACTACCCACTAACTAGTTTTTTTTTTTTTACTAATCCAATCTATCTCACTTCAACCCATCATCCACATCATCCAGTCTAATCTTATATTACAGCTACAATCACATGACCCTATTGCTCAAAAGCCAACAGTGGCTCTCCTGCCTAACAAATTAAGAGAAATACTCTGCCTGGAATCTACAGCCCTGTCTAGAATGTCCTCAAGCCTTCCTTTCCAGGCTTATGGTATAGACCAGCGGCCCCCAACTTTTTTGGCACCAGGGACCAGTTTCGTGGAAGACAATTTTATTTTTCCAAGGACGGGGCGGTGGTGTGGATGGGATGATGATGGTTCAGGCAACGGGGAGCAGCAGACGAAGCTTCACTCACTGGCCTGCCACTCATCTCCTGCTGTGCTGCCCAGTTCCTAACAGGCCACGGACAGGTATCAGTCCGCAGCCCAGGGGTTGGGCACCCCTGGTATAGACTATAGAAAACAGTGTAGACCTTTAAACAGCCTTTGAGTTCAAATCCCAGGTATGCTTCTTACTAACTGTGGAAACTTGAGCAAGCTATTTCACTTTTCTGAGCTCAGAAATGGAGGAAACAGCACTTACCATGAGTGTTGTGAGAACTGAATAAAATAAAGTAATAGTACAGTACACAGAGTAAATGTTAAACAAAAGCATCTTTCTATAACGCCCTGCACTAAAACTACCCTAAATTTTAGTAAGAATGGGCCACTTAAATCCCCTGAATTAGATGTTTCTACCTTCATGACTTAGTTTACCTTGTTAGTTTCTTAGCAAAACCTCATTAAAACTTCTGCCTTTCAAAAATGTACCCATTCAAGAAGTGCCATTTCAAACAACAACTTTATTATTTTATTTATCTTTCTGCTTCATGTTTTTCAACATCCTTCATTCCCCATCGTCACCCTCAATGATATTATAAGCTCTCCTTTTTGAAGTACCCCAGCACCTTGTACTTCTGAGGTACTTGTATGCTAGCATTTCCTGTGTCTTTTAAGCCCATCTACTAGAGCATAAGCTTCCAGAGAGAAGCATTTTTAATGTCTCACTGATCTTTTGTACTTCCTATACTACTTAGAACTGTATATATACAGCAGATGATCAATGTGTTTATTAAACTGATTAAACTGAATACTGACATAAGCAAATATAAAATTCTAAACCTGAAAATAAAGGCTAGTTCAAAAATATTTTTCTTTTGATTCTGAAAAAGATAATGTCTAAGACTAATTAACCTTGTCCAAAAAAACTGTGAAGAATTTTTGGACAGACCCAACAATTAAAGCCCTAAGTGGGAAAACACCAGAACAACCTATTTTAATCTTAGAGGCCAGAAATAGTTCAGAGAAAGAATATAAGCTTAGAATATTTGTTTTCTGTACAAAACAAAGTCCTGTTTATCATGTGAATGACTGACAAATGCATGCGTAATCAATAGCTTGCTTTTTCCCCTGCTTACAAATCTTCCAGAAGGGCCTGTTTATTGCCCTTTGTTTCTGCTTAAAAATAGTCCTTCCAATCTCATGCTATCAATGAGAGAGTAGATGCAAAAGTACTTTACAAAATTATACAAATGTAAAGTATCAGTATCTCTTAATTTCTCAAGTACGTTATAATCAGCAACAATTAGATCATTCCACAACAAGCAGGCTCCCTCAGATCAATGTATTATCTTTTCTAAATTTTTCCCAGCTTCACAGTTAGTTCACCACAATCCTCCTAATTTTAATCAGTCCCTTTTGCATCAAATCTTTTCAATCCATTACTTATCTGACTCTAATCTTTTCTCTACTCTATAGTTATAATGTGTGCACTAGGGAAACTCTTAACAAAAGAGACCCTAAATTTAAACTTTAGTGCTGTTACTTACTGGTTAATCTGATCTTGGTCAAGTTATTTAATCTTCTTTAAACTCCAGTTTCCTTGTTTGTGAAATGGTGGTGTGTAGTAAGTACCTATCTCAGAAAAGTTTTGTAAAGAATTTTTTAAAGTTTATATGTAAAGCACTCAGCACAGTGCATAGCACCTAGCAGGCACTCAATCAATGGTGGTTATTACTTTCCTACCTCCTAGTGCTTCTGGCATTTACTTTTTCAGAGTTGGGAGGGAAATAATACTCAGGTATATGCACTGAGGATGTGCATAACTCTGAGGCAGTCATTTTTATCATTAGCTTTGTTTAAAAAACCAAAAGCATTAGTATAGTTTTCCCCTCACTCCAATCCACTAGTCTTACTTCTTTCTTCCTATAGCACTGTTTCTTGACCAAAACAATGTACTATTAACTCCTCAAAAGTTTTTAAGAATCTGGTTAAGCACTGTAAATATTCCATCTTCACACGATAGTTGTCCTCTCCCTAAGGCAAATCTTTGTACCCATAACTATTCTTTATGTAACCTGGTTTCCAAATCCTTTGATATACTTGATGCTAGTATTTGGAAGCATCTGAGTTTCTCAATATCACTGTTAAAGTATATTTATCCAAAGTGAATAGATGATGTCATGTTTTATTTGGCCAGCACACACACTAGGGAACTACTGCATCCCTTCACCTGAGTGCCTCGTAGATTTGAATCAATGCCATCATACAGAGTGTTGAGATATTTTTTTTAGCACCTACATTATCACAGCAGCTCCTACTAAGTCTTTCACTCATGTAAATTGCAGCCAAGACAAATTCTCAGCAACTTTTTCAATTCCTTTTAAAAACTTAATGTAGAATTTTACATTTATGTCTGTTTCTATTCATCTTGTTTCTCAGTTTTTAGCTTTCAAATAAATTTCTGAACTCAATGTACTAGTTATACTTCCATCATTAGGTCTTTACCTTAAGCATGTCATTTCCCTTCCATCTAAATCAGAGTAAACAAGCGTTCAATAGAATGAGGCCTAAGAAAGTATTACTGATTCTTGCGAATTCTTTAGGGAACTATAATTCTGTTATGTTCCTCCTTCTTCAAAACCAGTTTCTCCCTTATGGACTTTCCCCTGATTTCTATACCACATGTAAGACTGATCAGTTGTTTACCAGGACTAAAGACTTTCAGAGTCAGAAGGGACTTTCCAGGATCATCTGGTCTTGCCCAACTCTCGCCTTTACACATAAGGAACAGAAGATTAGGAAAGTTATATACCCTTGGCCACATGGCCTATAAGTGATATATCTGGGAGCAGAACAAAGGAATTCTAAATACATATAAATGATGTTCTTTCCAGTACAGGTTTTTATTTAATTTTTTTGTATTTTTATCTGTTCACTTGATTTATATGAAGATAAATTACTGCTTTTTATTATTCTCTGCTTTCTCTAAAACAATGTGCCCTTTTTGTTCTCAAGGGTATTCTGGCTACCACACAAGGAGCACATATATTGTTTCCTCTTACTTTTCAAGGCCATTCAGGGAAAAGGTTGGTGAACAGCTACAGAGCTAAATAAATATAAATTCTGCCTTACTGCAGGCAGTGAGGAAAGGAATATTTTGATTATAAATCTCAAATCCTGACTCTCAGTCTACACATATATTTAAAAATAACTATCAACTTTCTAAGACTCTATAGATTTTATACTGTATTGATGGTATATATTAAATCACTGTATCAATGATATAACATATTCTTTTTATACCACTTCTAGTTGATTTATGGTCAACATCACTTAGATATCAAACTCAGATATGAAATATTAATAATAAATAACAACCACCAGCTACCTCCTCACCAGAATGTAAGTTCTGTGACAGTTAGTGTAACAACCACCACCTACCTCCTCATCAGAATGTAACTTCTGTGACAGTTAGTGTTAGTTTTTCATTCTATAATTTTTGTGTGGCTTGCAGTGGGTAGGCTCTCAATAAAAATGCTGATAAACAAATGAATGAATAAATAAGCTCTTTAAAAGGAAAACTAACCCCCCAAAATGGGTCTAAAATTTTAACAACTCCCCAAAAAGTAAACAAAAGAGATATATTCTAAAAGGATTTACTTGGCCACCAAAGTTAATTAAAGAAATGAATGAGTCTTAATATTACAACTTTTTTTTCAACAAAGTGCTTTTACTCCCTTTCCATTTTGCTCTTTGCCCCGAAATCTTTTGACAGGTTACTTTTTGTTTCCTTAGACTCCTTACACATAAGAGACTTCTACAACAATCCCTCTGTTCATTTTCCTAGAACCACCGAGCAATTGTTCAAAGAGACCAAATCAAGTTCACTATCATAAGAGTATAAAAAAGCTATCAGCAGATACACAGATGAGGTTCTTGTTAGTATTAGAATTACTTTATGACCTGAACTCAAAAACAATCTAAGAATTCACTATTTTCTGTCAATGTTTTCATATTCTTTGTATGCAGCTGCTCTCACAATTCATTTCAAAATATCAAGTCTCACATTAACCAAAATAGCAATTTCTAGCAATCCGACATTAAGTCAAAACATTCTCTTTACTGATGCTTTTATTAAACATTATCTTCTACATCAGTCCTCTGAAATCTAAGCAAAAAGCACCAGAACAATATCATGTTACTTCAAATGTTGAGGATGAAGGAACTTGCTCACTTAAAGCCTTTTTCTCCTCCTGTTTTTAATATGTTTATGTAATTTATGTATGTAATTTATGTATGTTTAATATGTTTATGTAATTCACTTCAAATGTCTATGCTAAGTTCAAAGAACTAACTGCATCAAACTCAAATCATTTATATCCTTTTCCTGTCTGTTATTTAAACATTGATATTAAAAATTTTTTAATTACTTATCAAGTCAAAGCTATTGATATTTGATGTATCACCAATCACTTAGCTTATGTTTCATAAACAATATAAAGCACCAGCCTATATAAACCCACCATGTTCTATCCATAGTTTTCCTTTAAATTCACAAAGTGAAAACTCTATTTCAAAAACTACAAGAAAACTACAGATTTAATAAACAGATTAACTTACTGAAAAAATCTTTAAAGACCTTTAACCAATCCATTCTGAAAAAAAATCCCGTGTTCTCTTTCGTCAGTTTGTTAACACAGCTCAGGATAATTCTCGGTGAACTTCCTGGTTCTGCAACATTGAAACTCCCCACACCCAATCCATGTGACTTGGCCCACACCCAGGCAATAGAAAGGTTTGCTGAGGCTTCTCTCTTTCCAAAACACTTTTCCCCTGAACTCCAACAGAACCTATAAAACAAGTATATCATGATGGCCACAAATATGACCTTACTATTCATATTTATTTTGGAAGAAGCTTTAAAGCGTGTATTTTTTTTTCAACAGTTGAAAATATATTCATGTATTCATTCTTTCCTTTGTTCTCTCCTTTTCTTTCTTAACCTTCAAACAGTGTCTCCATCAGCACAATCAATCATTGTGAAAAAAATCCATTAGTTATATGGGACATTTAAGTTACCTACCAAAAAGGGATTCAGAAATTCTGAGAAAGGAAAGAAAGCTGTCCGATGCAAAAGCTGGATTTACATCATTATACAGTCTAACTACAGACCACTAGTCCTCTGGAATAGACAGCAATAACTGTAATATACTAATAAAATTTACAGTGATAGCCTAGAACTTAAATAGATATAGTCTTGCTGAAACTGTCTCAATAATATCAGAAAATAATATGGAAGGTTTCCCAGGAATATTAATAATAAAAACTGTATCTAATAAGGCTTTTAAAATTCATATGCAGTCATATCTAAAACTGGGGTGTTTTTCCTCTTTGCTCTATATTAGTTTTTTCACTATCTTTTGTTAATTACTGTCACATCTGCTATACCTCTCAGGATACCACTATCCTTTTTAAAAGGAACATAAAAGTTTATCTAGGTGTGGCCCTAGTCCTTTCTGTGCCTTCATCACTATGAGGCATACTTTCTTGATAGAAGTTACCTTAACTTTCCCTAATACACCTAATCAACATGCTTTAAATAAATGTCCAGTATTTACAAAATCACAAGTATTCCTGGTTGTAACTTTGGTCTCTTCAGCTATTCAAGGACAATCTCTTTCCAAATGTCTTTCATTCATATGAGAATTGTCTTCTATTTAAAAACTACTATTAAAAACTAATAATAATGGCCTTATTTGCAAAACCTTAAAATCTCAAAAAAAGGCAAACCTAGTTAAAGCAGTTAAGTATCATGGTGAAAATTCAGATTAGTAACTCCATTTATTAAATGACCTTTCTAATAGAATAATAGAATAACAATAATGCTGAATAAGAAATAAAAACTAATATAAAGCAGTTAGTCAATAATATTCCATATTCATCAATCATGCCACATTACTCTCAAACTATCTTTTTTCAAGGAGAAATTTTACTTCTTCTCCTACATATATACCAAAAACTATTAAGTAACAGCATGCTTGCCTGAATACCTGAGGGAAATTCTGTCCCTCCCAATTCCTTCCTGTCAGCCAAGGAGAATTAAGAGAGAGAGAGAGAGACAGCCTAGGCCTCATTTGCACGTATTTCCTTCCTATCACAGCTTGGCCAAGCCCAATGTGAAGTAGGTTCCCCTATCCCTGGCCCTAACGGAAGGCCAGTAAAAACAAACTTTACAGTTAGGGGAAGAAAGAAGAGGAAAAAAGAGAAACAAAATAAGAAAGAGATAAGCTTTGTAGATGCTAATATACAGTAATGCACAATTTAAAACTCTTTTATCAAATATAAGAATAAAATGATAGTTTGTTTTTAAAAGCACAGTTCAAAATATAAGCCATTAGATGTAAAATGAAGCAATGAAGCAATCCTGTAAAATATGTTGCCTTGATGACAAGGAGGATATTCTGCATCTCACTCATTTTATCTCTATCTCAATTAGATGTAGAATCTGTCTAAATTCCAACAGGCACTCATGGTTCAAGGAGCCCCTGATAGAAGATCAGAGTTAAGTTCCACTGTCAGCATCACTCTGGCTTGACTCTTGAACTCTGGCCAGATCCACCAGCTAGATTTACAGAAACTGACCTTCACCGGTCTCCTTGAACACACCTGACTTGAATATCCCTGCTATGAGCCAAATTTACCTTGCCTAGCTGAAATCCCAGCCCTGGGATATTCTAGTTGATTCTGCCCACTGCTGCCAAAATTCAGTACAAACAGCCAAGCTCCAGCATTCATTTAAAAGAAAGTACTGTCATTCTTGTTTTAATACAAAAATAACTTACCTAACGTATCCTTTAGGTTTTTTACAATCGATGCTTTCCGAGCACTGTTTTTCCTTTCCACGTAGTTAGAAGGCACAAAACCCGTTTTATTCATGGAATTTCGAACTCGCCACCAGGACTTAGAATCATCCAGAAGCCACAATCTCTCATTCTTCTTGATGTCCAGCTCTTGTTCTTGTTGGGCCACATAATCAAATTTGGCTACTACCACCACTTCTTCTGCCATTTTTCAGCAGCTTCTGCACTGTAACCACACAGAAAATATTTTACATAAGGTTTAACTAGTAGTAGTCTACATGCTTTTCCAAAGAAACACACCTAAGAACCAAAGAGCACTGAATGATTGAAAATAAAAATATGAAAAAAATTAAAATACCAGGCATATGCTAATCAATACAAAACTGATGTAGCTATATTAATAACTTAAGGCAAAACTATTACTAGTGATAAGGAAATTAACTACATCATGATAAAAGGGTTTTTTTTTTTTTTTTTTTGGCTGTACGTGGCCCTCTCACTGTTGTGGGCTCTCCCGTTGCGGAGTGCAGGCTCAGCCGCCATGGCTCACAGGCCTAGCCACTCTGTGGTGGCATGTGGGATCTTCCAGGACCAGGGCACGAACCTGTGTCCCCTGCATCAGCAGGTGGACTCTCAACCACTGCGCCACCAGGGAAGCCCATGATAAAAGGTTTTATTCAATATATATAACAGCTAAACTTATATGTACCTATTAATATAGCTCCAAAATAGAACCACAGGGAAAAATTGACAAAATCATCATCATAGAGAACTTTTAACATGTTTATCTCAGTAATAAATTAAGGAGACAAAATATTAGTAAGGCTAAAGAAGAACTGACATCATAACCGCTAAGTTTGATGTAATAAACATATACAAATATAACTTCCAAACAGAAGAATATAAACAGAACATATACAAAAATCGATCAAATGCTAGGCCATAAAAAAGTCTCTACATTTTTCATGTACTTGGCACCCTACAACCATATTCTGACAATTATAATAAAAAGACAGCTTTTCAAAAACCTTATATATTAATATTTAGAAACTTCTAAAAACTCATGAGTCAATGAAGAAATCATAATAGAATTTGGAAAATACTTAAAAGTAAAATTAAAGACTATATAGCTAACTTTGTGGGATGCACCAAAAGGAGTATATAAAAAGGAGATTTGTAAATAGTTACATCAGAAAAATAAAAGTTAAAAATAAATTAATGAACTGATCATCTGTCTTCAATTAGAAAAGAAGAACATAAAGAAAAGTAGATAAAAGGAAATAATACAAATAAAAGCAGAATTTAATGAAACAGAAAACAAAGATATAGAAGAAAGGCTCAGCAAAACAAAAGGTAGTTCTTTGTCATGACTAAAAAATGGACAGAGTCTGGCAAGACTAATCAATGAAAAAAGGAAAAGAGCGCCCAGAAATAAACCCACATACCTATGGTCAATTAATCTTCAACAAAAGAGGCAAGAAAATACAATGGAGAAAAGACAGTCTCTTCAGCAAGTGGTGTTGGGAAAGCTGGACAGCCACATGTAAATCAATGAAGTTAGAACACACCCTCACACCATACACAAAAATAAACTTAAAATGGCTTAAAGACTTAAATGTAAGACATGACACCATAAAACTCTGAGAAGAGAATATACGCAAGACATTCTCTGACATAAATCGTACCAAGGCAACAGAAATAAAAGCAAATATAAACAAATAGGACCTAAACAAACTTAAAAGCTTTTGTACAGCAAAGGAAACCACAAACAAAATGAAAAGACAAACTATGGACTGGGAGAAAATATTTGCAAATGATGTGACCGACAAGGGCTTAATTTCCAAAATATACAACCAGCTCAAACAACTCAATAACAAAAAAACAAACAACCCAATCAAAAAATGGGCAGAAGACCTAAATAGACATTTCTCCGAAGAAGACATATAGATGGCCAACAGGCACATGAAAAAATGCTCAACACTGCTAACTATTAAAGGTATGCAAATCAAAGCTACAATGAGGTACCACCTCACACTGGTCAGAATGGCAATCATTAAAAAGTCTACAAATAACAAATGCTGGAAAGCATATGGGGAAAAGGAAACCCTCTTATACTGTTGGTGGGGATGTAAACTGGTGCAGTCACTATGAAAACCAGTATGGAGGTCCCTCAAAAAACTAAAAATAGAGTTGCCATATGATCCTGCAATTCCACTCCCGGGCATATATCCAGACAAAACTATAATTTGAAAAGATACATGTACCCCCACTCTTCATTGAAGCACTATTTACAATTGCCAAGACATGGAACAATCTAAATGTCCATCAACAGAGGAATGGATAAAGAAGATGTGGTATATATATACAATGGAGTACTACTCAGCCATAAAAAAATGAAATAATGCCATTTGCAGCAACATGGATGGACCTAGAGATTATCACAGTAAGTGAATTAAGTCAGAAAGAGAAAGACAAATACAATATATATGACACAAATGAACTTATCTACAAAACAAACTCACAGACACAGAGAACAGACTTTTGGTTGCCAAGGGCAGGGGGTGTGGGAGGGATGGACTGGAGTTTGGCATTAGCAGATGCAAACTATTATATATACCATGGATAAACAAGGTCTTACTGTATAGCACAGGGAACTGTATTCAATATCCTGTGATAAACCATAATGGACAAGAATATGAAAAAGAACATATATATATGTGTAACTGAATTACTTTGCTGTACAGCAGAAATTAACACATTGTAAATCAACTATACTTCAATAAATTTTTTTAAAAATGAAAAAAAGCACACCAAATTACCAGGAATAAAAGGGGAGTCATAATTATAGATGCTACAGACATTCAAAAGACATGGCAATATTAAAAGCTTCATCAATAAATCT